CTTCCAGGTTGCAATACTTCTTTAGATTCAACTTTATGAAAGAGTGCTAGAGAGAATATTAAGAGTTGTTCTTTCCAGTTGATTTTTTTATGCTCACATTAAAACAAAACCAACCCCCCCACTAATATATAGACATAATTCAAGTGTGATGGCAAGAATGATGCAGCTTAAGATTCTGAGTAAAACTGTCCTGGCCATCTTTTGATAATGATTACGAGTAAAGACTCTACACCATAATGAATTAAAGTAAACTAAAAAAATTAAAATTATCTTATGCTTTAAGATAAAATTTAAGGTCTTGACTTCACTACTTGGTTACTTCTAAGCTTAAGAAGTGATGCAGCAGTGAATCAGAAATGTAAGATGTAATCCTGAACTCCTAAGGCAGAACTCCTACTGACTTCACTGGAACAAGAACTTCAAGGCACTAAATGTCAAAAAATATATGTACTGAACCTTTATCTGCAAATCAATTAAGCCATTATACTTAATTTACTTTGAATCTTCCCCATTAAGTTTTCCAAAGAACATATTTTTGTGCCCTTATGCTGTCTGTGATAAGAAGAAGGGATAAATCCATTTGCAAAAGTGATACTGTATTCTCTGCCAGTGAATTTCCACCCAGCTATTAAGTTATCAGATGTGGTTTAGCTTGGAGAATGAAAGTTTAAATGGAAAATTAAGCACTGAGAGTGACTTCAGAAATTCTGTGCATCATTTTGCCCCTTAATGTCACACTTCACCAGACACACTTTGAAGTGCAGTGAATCATATTTTAAACAAGCAGACTTTAATATAACGACAGCGGATAATGTAGCAGAGGTGAATAATAAGTGTTAGCAGTCTTAACTTCTCCCTTACAGCATTCTTTCCTAGGTGTCTAGGTACAATTGATGGGCAATTTATAAAGTGCATATGCTGTTTTATAGATTGGAACTTGGGATCCAGCGAGTGGCCTTAATATGACGGAGAATCAGAAAGGAAAACCAGCAAACATCACAGATTCTCTATCCAATCGCTCTTTAATTGTTACCACCATCTTGGTAAGTAATTATATTTGCCTTCCTTTTCCAGAAATACAGATGTACATGAGAGCTGATGGAAAAAGCTATACTAATTACAACACTAATGAACAGTATGTAATGTCTTTTACAGTTATTTAGCAATTACTGTGTAATGAATGAGCTGCAGTTGTTAATTTTGTCATGGATTTTTATTCTAGTTTAAGTTGACGTAAATTACTGTAATTTTAGTGTTATCTCCCTTAATAATTTGGGTTTGCTTATTATTAGCTAAAATTTTTGAATCTTGGTTAAAAAACAAACCATACATTTTAAAATCATATTTAGGGAAACAACATAATAATTCAATTAAATGGACCAGGTTATTGAATTGATGACAAACTGGCAATATTGTCACTCATTTTGATAGATAATATTGTAAGACTTAGTTTTTAATCTTCTTCATCATAATTATTTTAATTTTTCTTGTCCTCTTTATAACTTAGCAATCATCTTAACCAAACTGAATTTAAAAAAGGGAAACTTCATTTTGACACTTCAGAGTAGACTGAATTTTCATACATTTGTAGATGTAGATTTAGATGCTAGAATGGACCTTTTTGATAATCCATTTTGGCCCTTGGCACAACTCAGAAGCTGATTTTCACCCAGTTATTATTATATTCAGCCCAATAACATCTAGTTGAACTACAGCAAAATATTGAGTTAGATGCATAATATTGAAGTAGATATAAAATATCACTAATAGTCTTACTAATGTGTTATACGAGGTAATAAAGCCGTCATGATTACACATCTAAGCATCATGTTTTTTGCTGCAGATTAACACTGGAAGATCATGTTTACTTATTGCCAAAAATGTGTCCCTAAGCACTGCTTTGGATCATACCCTAGTTGGCTACAATCCTTGTTCTTTGCTGTTTGATGTAGATCCATGTATTTGTCTATATTTAAAAACTCCTAAAACTCCTATCAGCTTACCTAGTGATTTATCTCCACCAGAGATCAGTCATCTATATTATTTATTACTCGATCATCCTTTAAGTTATGTATAAACTTAATCACTATTTTTTTACATTGTGTTACAGTCTGTATTGACAGTATTCATCTAAGAACTAATTATTGCAAGACCCCAGTAGAACCATCGCCACTAATCTAAGTCTCTCCATTAGCAACTCTGTTTTGAGATCTGTTAGCAAATGTTTAATTCCTTTAATGTAGGTATCATACTGATTTTGTATACTACTCATTTTTTAATTCTGAAACCTGGTTTCAAGAAAGGGTAAACACCATCAGTACAGATGTTAACTTGGGCCACCTATTGGCAGTATCTTTCTACCAGAAGAATCCCTGCTCTTCTGATAGAAACTATGGGCATACAAGCATTCACTCTGTTTCTCTGGAGGGAAACAAGTCCCTTCTGGGAAAAAAGCTTCCAGGAAGATCTCGCTTGCAAGAGAAACTCTCTCTGTCTGGTCCAGGAGGGGAGTGAAGAAGCAGGGCAATACTCACCTCCCTCGACTAGGGACTGCCAGGTCAGGGGAAGGGACAGGAAGCATTGCCCTGCTGCTCCAGTCCCCTCCTAGACTGGTCCAGGAAGCGAATTGAGCAATGAGGCAAAGTTATCTTTCCCACTTCCTTCACCAGGGTCCCCAATTTGAGAACTGAATGGGAGGTTTGCTATGTTGCTCACTCCACTCAGCTCCCAGTCTGAGGAGGTCCCAACAGGGAGGGGGCTTTGTCCCACTGCTCCAGTCCCCTCCCTCTCCCAGGCCAGTCTACAAGAGGTGGATTATTCCCAGACCTGGGTGTCACTAGTCTTTGAAAATGTGGGAAGTCTTTTCCTCCTGCTGCATTACCCACTCCCCACTCCCTCCCTCTCCACGCCCTCCTCTCCCTGAAATAGGAGGACTGGAGCAGCTCCAATCCCCAAGTCTTTCCCAGACCAGGATCATCTAGTTTAAGGAAACCACAGGGGCAGGGAAGAGGGGGTAGTTGCAGACTGAACCCCATACTACTTTCTCTCCCAGAAACATTTCTAGTGGTGAAAATTTCACAGAATTTCCAGAAATGAACAGTTGCTCATTGCCTTGGTCTGAGTTCACTAGAGCTCTGAATTGGTGCAGCCCCATTGATAGCTGGTCACTGACTTCTGTAATCATGCCAGTCCCCTGTGTCGACAAGAGTTCTGTTTTCTTAAGAATAACATTTGGTTGCTAGTTTTGTAGGCATATGTCCCCATCTTTCACTTCCAGATGGAACGCATAATTAAGGGGGGAAAAAAAGCAAGGACATTCAGATTCCTAGCTGCTCACTTGTAATTGCCACTTTACACCTCAATTACTGTTTGCTGAAGTTCTAGGTAATTGTAATAACTCACATGAACTAAAAGCAAAAGTTATGAGGAGGAAGGTACTCAGAATAATTAAATTTCTCTTCTCCATCTGTTGGTTGGCTGTAAAGAGTAGGTGTGGTGCCTTGCTTTTATTATCCCATCCCTTTGTCTTTTATAACTGCGTTTGCACTTGGCATGCTATATATTACTGTTTGTATTCTATGGACAGCCGACATGGTGAGCTGGAGAAATCACGGTTTTCTTTTTTTCATTCATAGTATTGTACTCCTGAAGTATCAGCTGTACAGGCTTTTGTGAGAGGTTGCATCTCTGGGACAAAGCTTTCAACAATAACAGAAAAGTTAAAATCACAAAGAAAGAATTGGCTTTAAAATAATGGCTTAATGGATCCCTTAGAGAGGTTCTGTAGTGCATAGTGTAATGGAAATGAAAATGATTTAGAGGCTTGTGTTTGTTTGTTTGATTTAACCACCATTGCTACTATTTCTGCTGTGCCACCACAGTACTGTCAGGGAAGACTATATCCCTTGAAGGGCAGTTGGACTGAAAAAGCATAGTAGGGAATACCATACAGCTGGCATGCCAGATGTATGCCATTGCCGATCCATCTGTAATGCATGCTACACGCCAGCCACTTTACCAGTCTTTCCATGGGTAAACAGACAGTCTGAGACAGAAGTAGGGTGTAGCTATAGAAATTCATGGATGTAGCCCATGGAGATAGTTTTCTCTTCATTCATTCATTTTAACTTCTTTCAAAATATTGCCTAAAAAGAGAATCTAGCTCACTTAGCCCAACCTAGTTATAGGGAATTTTCATCTTTCAGGCTAATGTTACTGCCTTAATGTTTAAGAGATTTCGTTTTCTCTCTCCAGACATACTGAACTATGATGTCCTGTTTTCTTTTACGCTGCAAGCTTGCAGGTTTAAACTCCTCTTAGCCCAGTGCTTTGCACATCTCTATATTTCCAGAACATACCAATCTGATCAAATTAAAAAAACAAAAACAAAACAGACACATAGTGTAAGCCAGGAGGGGCCATTGTGAAGTTGTAGATTGGCTTTCTGTATAATAGACACGATAAGCTGTTGGGAACTGTAGGAACAAGTGGCTCAGAGGTGGTCCACCAGGTATACTGCTGTGGTATCAAAAGTCTCTGGGTGAGGCCTTCCGAACTTTCCCAAATCCTGGCTTCTCAGCTACGCAGCTCCAACATGGAGCTTGCAAACTTCACTTGGATAGAAAGTACTTCTGTTTAGACTACCAACATTCCCAGGTCCTCACATGACTTCTTCACATACTGGAACATCAAATATGCTTCTAGTGCAAAAGGAAAAGAAACCATCAGCTCGTAAAATCAAAGTTCTCAACTAAATGACTCCCAGGTTGAAAGTCTCTGATACATTTAAAAAAGATTGAACCAAAACAGCAGCTAAAGTTTTCTAAAGAGTATTTTTTGCTTCTGTTTTGTGGAAAACTTTATTTTTGTTTTTGGAACCAAAATGTGTTTTGAAACTTGAGAATTTTGTGTAGAAGAAAAATTCAGGTTTCTGCACAGCCCGATAAACTCTGAGAACTCTTTGCTAAGAACATCTTAAAATCACCTACTAAGCACTATAGAACCTACTAAATCCACTGAATTTGCATGCTTTGTCAATGGACTCGGGCAACTCCCACTTACACCAGTTTTATACAATTCACTGGCTTTTTTAGAGTTTCTCTTCATTTATGCGGGAGGGAGGGTAAATCCTGTCCTGTGACTGTTAAAGTAATAATAACTAGGCATTTCCATAATTTATCACTATAGGCTGTTCATTTTTTCTAAATATGTAAAGAAAATCTTGCACTTTTCAAACTTTTTAACATTTCGGTTTTCCTTCTAGAAACTGCTGGATGTATTCTTCCTTAACTACAGGTTAACAAATTTTAATAGGAATTTTAGGAAATATAAAAACCATCCAGTGTCAGGCATCCTTGTGGAGCTTGCAAGCACAACTTGGATAGAATTATTCCTAATCAGATTTTCATTTCTCCCATTTCCCCATGTGACTTGCTTCCTCATGACTGTTCTATGGCACAGCTGTCCAACAGGCAGCCTGTGAGGCTAGGTACAAAAAGTCAAAAGCCTGAGGCTGAATTGAGTCAGTCTTTGTAGGTTAGTCTAAGCTGCAAAGATGAAATTGAAACAGAAGTGAACAGACACTTACCTTTGATTCAGAAAATGCAGCCACATTCCTGCAGTGGCTCAGGCCACAAGTCAGGGGGCATTAGAGCTGTGTGTTCACTTCCTTTTCCTGCTGCCTGTGAGGTCTCTGGAATTTGCAGTCCAGAATTACAAACAGCAGGACTCTGCAGGATTGCTTATCACTTCCTCTTCCTGCTTCCAGGTGCCTCTGGGATTTGTAGACAAGTTGCAGCCAGCTTTTTTCAACAATTTCCTCACTATTTGTACTCCATTTTCCACCAGAGCATTGGAATGTGGGTATTTAGGACTTAAAGTATTGTGATGGAATCCATATGTGTCTGCAAACTCTTTTAAACTCAAGATAATTTAATTGAAGTTCGTTGTCTGTTCTCACAACTTGTGGAATTCCATGTCTAGCAAAAATCAATTTGATGTGAGTTATGAGATGATTTGTTGTTGTGCTTTTGAGCAATGTAAT